TGAACAGAACATATTGATACACTGATGAGTACGTGCTTTTTCATGCAATGATTTTATTTTTTGTAACATATATTTAAAATGATTAACAAAAGTTGAAAGTTAAAATGTAAAGGAACAAAATGGAGATTTGTAGTTCAGTTATTTATTAATTTTATTGCTTTGACATAAACACATCATCTTTGCAGTTCAACTGGTACTGGCCAGCGACCAGCTGAGAGCTTGCAGTCACTGGTACAGGCCAGTGGACCAGCTGGTGAGCTTTGCGTGATCACTGGTACAGGCCATGACCAGATGGAGTGCTTTTGCAGATCACTGGTACTCAGGCCTGGACCAGCTGGAGAGCTGTGGCAGTTCAATGGTTCAGGCCAGGGCTGGGTGGAGTGTGAAGTCTTGAAACCTTTTACTGATGCACTCCCAGTGAGATTAAAACAGAAAAGTGGTTTGAACAGACATAATTATTACTTGTTATAAACTTAACTATCTTATAGTCAGCAGAAGAGAATAAATGTAACCACCAAACAGAAAGATGCTATGCAGTCTTCTATTCAGAGACAGGAACTCTGCGGCTTTGACTGTTTTCATACCTGCAGTCTTTCTACTGTTTCAATCCTGCAGTCTTTGACTGTTTCAAACATGCAGTCTGGGGGCTCCTCGTTTCTCTCATAAGCTGAAGCATCTAGCTCTAACTACTTCCCTCGACATAATTGAGAATGAAGCAGAAAAAAAAGCACAATTGAATGGTTAGGTACATCTAGCATCATATTTTATTTACCTAAAATTTAGCATGTATTACTTTCACCATTACACAATCTTATCATGTTCTTATAAATATGGAAAGTCTATAACATACATTTATAATAATAAAGCACCAAAAATTAGGAGCATTGTTACATGTGTAAGTGTTTCATGTATGTGCTTAAGCTACAATGTGTCGTAGCTAATGCTACCCCCATTAGCTGTTTGCGCTAGGTGCTAAGTTATGTCTTACCGTGCCACTTGTGTATATATTTTTCATCGAACCCTTCTCTAGTGAATTCTGAGAATTCTCATATGCGATGGTCTCTGCAGCAAGCAAACGAAAAAGCTGGTATATCTGAAAGATGTTGTGGAGAGTTTTAAGGTGTATTTCTCCTACATCCAGCGCTAACAAGGTGCGTTCCAAGTACCTGGAGGAGGGACGGACACTTCCTGGTTCTCGTTGACTAACGCGCAACTTTCGATTCACTTACGGGGGCGTTGGGTTTCAAAGGGAAAATCGAAAATGTGAATTTTGACGGTCATTATTGGTTTACCGCATTTTTGTTTTAATTGATCCACAATGAAAAACAAGAAAACAAAACTATATTTCAATTTTGCATTAAAAAATTTCAAATATTCAGAATCAAAAACATCTCTCGTTTTTTGTTTTTTCAATGTTGGTTTTATTTTGAAAATCAAAAGAACGAATATATTACCGTTTTAAAATAGGACTGTGTTCAATATACCCTTCATATAGTTGACCTGTATCAGAAAGTTTATTCACAAAAAGGTTTATTTACCTAATACAAAAAGAATCTATAAACAGCTGTTCGGACCAAAAGTAAAACTTCCTTATTCTCTATATTAAATATAAAGTTATGGACTTTGAGTGGGCGCTCCACGCATAATAACACGGCCCTGGTCCAGAAAAAACTAACTAAAAACACATTCAAGCTATTCATTAAGTAATGTGCAAGGAAGGGGGGTGTTTATCTGTCAGCTCTCGGTCCCGTGATCCGGCCTCCATCAGATCTCCTGTCTCCATCAGACCTAAACAGAATCAATTTACACACTACCCTCACCAACTATAGATTTATTAGTTCCTTTGAGATTAGGCAGAGGGCTCAAAGGCTTCTCCTCCAGATTCTGGGCTCCATCTCCCTTCTTTCACACTTGAAGGATTAGCAGAATCCCCCCAGATTAATAATATCATTATCTACCACCCTTGCAATTTGGACAAAATGGGACAGGGGACCCTGACCCTTTTATAAATTTCACTCGCGAGGATGCTAAGGAGAGTGAACTCGCCTTTCTAGATTGTAAGGTCATCATACTGGAGAGAACGGACAATTAAGAGACTGAGGTCTTCAGAAAGTCCACTCACACTGACCAGTACTTGGCCTTTGATTCAAATCATCCGCTACAACACAAACTCGGGGTCATTAGAACGCTTCAACACCGAGCCCTCCAGGTCCCCACTAGCTCGGAGGGAAAGAACAGAGAAACCAAACATGTTCAGAGAGCACTTTCCAGATGTGGCTACCCCAAGTGGTCTTTTACTAAAGCCCAAAGGACGAGAAAGGCCAGAGACACAGTCCTACAGACAGAAGAAAGTAGGAGGAGAGGGGTGTCCTTACCGTATGTGGCGGGAGTTTCAGAGAAACTACAAAGAATCTTTAGGCAACACAAAATCCCTGTGTATTTCAAACCTTTCAACACGTTAAGACAGAAATTAGTGCATCCCAAAGACAAAACACCCAGACACAAACAGAGCAATGTGGTGTATTCAATTAAATGTAGTGAATGTAGTGAAATGCACTGACCACTATATTGGAGAAACCAAACAAACTCTACAGAAACGACTTTACCAACATCGTAGAGAAAACTCTAGTGGGCCACAGTCGGCTGTTCATCTCCACCTCAAGGCCTCCAACCACACGGTGGATGACACAGAGGTTAAAATTCTGGCTCGGGAGAAGAATTGGTTTGAGAGAGGGGTGAAAGAAGCCATTTTTGTGAGGAAACAAAAACCTTCTCTTAATAGAGGAGGAGGGTTAAGATTTGTTTTGCCTCGCATCTATGACGACATCCTAAAAACAACGCCCTAACTTGGGACAAGGTCAGTGACATGCTAATGAGTTAGGAGGGGTGAAACCTGCACTCCACTTGAGCATCCCAGCAGACAATAGGTCTGTGACATGCTAAGGAGTTAGGGTCGTTAGCCTCAGCAGGGTCGTTAGACCTGCTCCCTTCTACATCAAGCAGACCTGAGATTGTTTACGAGTCAGTATCAGGATTAGGGTGTGGCTTACCACACCCATAGGTTATAAATCTCCAACGCGCGGTCCGAGAATTCATTCCCTGAAGAAGTCCCCAGGTTGAGGACGAAACGTCGGGAAAACTTGCTAAGAAGTACAGATGATGGGTGAGAAACCTTCCTTTGCTTTGACTAATCCCTGTACGACTGAGGGCTTACACAAACTAACCCCCAGTGTCGCCTCACAGATGAGCTGCTGTGTCGGGCGTACGATACTAGGGCGCGAATGGGGCGCATGGGGAACTCTCTTTCCCATTTGTTACTGGGCCTTTCGAACGCATTGGAGGTTTCTACAGTCGATGCCCCGACCCAGGGACTGTTGGATGCGTCCCTCCACGCTTTTGCCCTTATGTCGCGGGAACTGGGCCGCCTGCTGTCGACCCTGACTCAGACACGTCGGCAGGTGTGATTGGCACAGTCACCCCTCACTGAGCCCTGTAGGAGGACTCTCCCGGAGTGTTCCGGTGCTTCCGGGGGAGCTCTTTGGTGCAGCTGCGCTTCAGGCGCTGGAGCGCACGGCGCAGGCCACCCGGACGCGTGACCAGCTGGTCGGGCTGCACCGGCGGGCCTCTCCACGGGTTGCCCCTCCTGCTGCTACTCCGCGGGTGTATGGTGTTCCACAGCCCTTTCCTAGGGGTTCGCGGCCACCAGGTGTCCCTCCGCCTGACCATAGGGGATTTCGGCCTTCTACCCGGCGGCCTCCCCAGAACGCACGGGCTCTCGGGCGCCCCCCCAGGGTCTCCAGGCCACGGGGGGCTCGGAGATGAGGTCAGGCCGCTGCCGGTGGGTTCTTTTACCCGGGAGCAGTTGGACTACTGGACCGCTCACACCTCAGACCTCTGGGTGTTGGGCACGCTCTCCCGGGGGTACACTCTCCAGTTCCACCGTCGGCCTGCGGTCCCTGGCCCCGTCAGGTGGACTGTGATCCACGACCGGGCCAGGACACTGGCACTGTCCGTAGAGATCGCCACCTTGCTGGACAAGGAGGCTATAGTGCCTGTGGACCCCCTGCTGGTCCCAGGGGGCTTTTATTCGATTTATTTTCTGGTTCCGAAGAAAACTGGCAACTTGCGTCCGGTTTTGGACCTTCGGGGCCTCTATGTGTTCCTCAAGACGCTATCGTTTCGGATGTTGAGGACCCCGGAGCTGTTGCAGGCAATATCTCCGGGCGATTGGTTCACATCCATCACCCTGAAGGATGCTTATTTTCACGTGCCGATTGCCCCGCATCACCAGCGGTTTCTGCGTTTTGCTTTCCAGGGGCGGCATTATCAATTTCGGGTGCTCCCCTTCGGGCTGTCCCTGTCCCCCAGGGTCTTTTCCCGGGTTGTTGCGGCGGCCTTGGCCCCTCTTCAGGCAGGGGGGTTGAGGGTCCTGCCTTATCTGGACGACTGGCTCGTGTGCGCCCCCAGTCGTGCCCAGGCCGTTCGGGACACTCAGACTGTCCTCGACCACGTTGGGCGTTTGGGTCTGCGGGTCAATGTTGCCAAGAGCAATTCAATCTGGAGAGACGAGGAGACAAAAAGCATTGTAAGTATTTTATTGAAGGTAATTTGGCGCCCTAGGCCCCGGTGCGGCGTTCAGTCAGCGAGGCTCCTGCTAGAGTGCGCGCACAATCCCCCGGGACCTAGGCACTGGTGGCGGCATTCGGGCAGCAGGAAGAGGCATGATTGAGGCAGGGTGAGAAAAGGAGGAGGAGGGGAGGCGGTGGTTTGCAAGGCTTTGAGAAGGCCGTAAAGTGGGAGTTTCGCCGCTTTTAAACGGCTGGCCTGGCCGGCGTAGGTTGGTTGGAAATGGCCGTTTGCTGTGCGATAGGCTGGGGCTGCGAGGCCGGCCTGGAAGGGGTGGCTTTGCTGACGTCTTCCAAATTGAATTTCCACGAGGCTGCATTTTGGTTCCGGCTCAGGCAACGATTTTCTTGGGGGTGTACCTAGATTCGGTTGCCATGACCGCCCGTCCGTCGGCTCTGCGGATCAATGGCATCGTGGACATGCTCCACAGATTTCAGCGGGGTGAAATCTTCTGTCCCGCCAACGCCCCCAGCCCGGGGAGTGGCGTCTCCACCCGGAGATGGTGGCCAGCATTTGGACTATGTTTGGCCGGGCCGAGGTGGTGGCTTCAGCTCTGGGTGTGGCCACTGAGGGGTCCAGTGCAATTGTCCCGAGGTATGGTGAGGGGGTCGCCCACACTATCTCCAATGCCAGGGCGCCTTCCACAGGTGCTTCCACAGGTGCTCCCACAGGTGCTCCCACAGGTGCTCCCACAGGTGCTTCCACAGGTGCTTCCACAGGCGTTCCCACAGGTGCGGTGCCTGGATTCTTTTTTTGAGATTCTTTGAGATTCTAAAATGGAAAGAAATGCTGTTATTTGTCTTTGACATTTCTATGATAAAAATGTTCTGATTTAACAAAGTTTAGGCCGACACAAGAACCGGAGAATTAACAAGAAAAGGAACGACATATTGAATTAAATTGAGAATGGAACATTCCTTGTATAGAATATGACATTTAGATGCTCCCAGCATCTGGCCTGAGCTCCTGGAGGAGGTTTGAGAGATACGGAGTCGAGGAAGTCGGCCTAAGCTCCACCTGGGGCGGCACGTGGCTGAGTGGTTAGCACTCTTGCTTCTCAGCAAGAAGGTCCTGGAAATCCTGGTTGGAACAGAGTCTTTCTGAGCGTAGTTTGCATGTTCTCCCTGTTCCTGTGATGGTTTCTTCCGGGTGCTTCGGTTTCCCCTACCACTAAAATATGTACAATAGGTAAATCCTCCAGCTCTGGTCCTGAGCCAGAGCATCAACATCTGAGGATTGGTCCCTGGTCACTTCTGACGGACGGCCAGTGGCCTCAGGACGCCCTACGCCCTACAGTTTCTCTTTACGGCTCGTGAGTTGGATCCGCTGCAGGGAGTCACACCTGGGACACCAAGCTTGTACTGAGGGTCTGCTCACACCTCCGGGAGAGCTTCTCCCAGGTCCCAGAGGAGGAGAGCTTCTCCCAGGTCCCAGAGGAAGAGAGCTTCTCCCAGGTCCCAGAGGAGGAGAGCTTCCCCCAGACCCCAGAGGAGGAGGGGTTCGAGGTTCTCAAGAATCTCCCCGTCACGTTCTCCGTTCCGGAGGCAGATGCTGAGGATGTTGGGGGGGATACTTCCATCTCCTTTAAGTCATTGAAGTGGTTGACAGCCTCCAGCCGAGTGTGAAGCGGCCGAACGAGGATTAGCACCTCCAAATCTGAGGTGAGAAAAAGGTGCCTTGTCCTGTCCAGGTGGGTGGAGAGGTACTCCTCAAGTGGAAGAGTTCAAGTGTGGGTACAGTTGATACAAGTATGCAGAGTTTTCTTATCTAAAAAGACAAAGGCTGCTGTGTTTGTACATTTTGCTCATGCATTTCATCTCAATCAGCCCTTGACCTGACGCAGATGCTGAGACAAACAAGGAAATAGTCATAGTGTGCGGGAACCAGGTACAGAATGTACTCACACAAGACAAATAACAATGACAAAAGAAAGATTTTTTGGCTCGAGGCCAATTGAGGAGTATTTGGGTCAGATGTGGGTGGTGCTGTCACTATAAATGTGTGTGTGTCTGAGCAAGAGCCTGAAGAGACCGACTGGACAGATCCCAGACCAGAGAGAGTTTAGACAGATGTCTAAACTGACCCTGTGCTGACCCGGCTGACCTTGTGCAGACGCTCTGAGTCCACAATGGAAAGACTCTGTGTCATTTGTGTTTGTTTGTTCATGTATTTGCCAGGGACAGTGCAGTCATCCAGCCTGGACCAACAAGTGGAGTTGGCAGAGAAGGGTCAGCCGTACGACCATGAGGCTAAAGCAATGCTTGCGCAGGTGACATGGAGCACCATACCGAGCCGGGAGGAGAGCTACAAGCTGCGTTTGGTCCTCAACAACGCTGTCTGGCGTGTCAGCCAGGCCTCAACAGCACGGCTGCAGGCCTGGCGTGCCCTCGCTGACATCGAAGCCAAATCTGAGGACGAGAAGGAGAAGAATTTTGCCCTCGACCATCTTAAAAAGATCGGAAATGAGATCACAGAACTCTGTGAGAAGCTGCTGGATTCTATCTACTCCCTCCTGCGATCTGAGAGAGATCCAGAAGCAATAGTAGGTTTTTAATATTGACAAAGCTCAGTTCACTTATTTATTCAAATGATGTGCAAGTGTACATTGTACTCCAAGCACAAGTACTGCAGAGTTTTTTGTTTTCTTGTTTTTCAGATTCAAATTAGAAATTTGGTCTTGTTGCTTCCATTTAAACTGCATTTCCTGTATTTTTGTAAAGCCATTTCCAGCTATAAACATACAATCAAGATTATAATAACATGTAAAAAAAAAACAGGTTTCAGATAAGTTTCAGAGGCAGGTGTGGTCGATTACGCAAGCACAAAAACTGATTTTCTTGATTCAAATAACTCCTGATGCCCTTATGTTTATGTCTCTCCTACAATATCTCTGTCTGTGGCAACAGAGCAGAGACCCTGTGCATCCTAGTGTCAGAGACAAGAGGGGAAGGGGAAAGCGGGGGAGGATGGAGAGGTGGGTGGGTTTGAGGAGAAGTCGTTGGAGGTAGATTTTGTGGGTGAATCGGGAGAGTGTGATGCCCGAGGTGGCTTGTTTATTTAAGTCTAACAGTAAGTAATGTTTATTTATATAGCACCTTTTACCGACCCAGTGCGCTTTAAAAATGTTCAATGTGAGTTTAGATATTATACCATTCTCTTCACACGATGATGACGGAAGCAAGACGCCAAACACACTTTGGGAGAACATCAGAATCAGAATGTTTTTATTGCTACGTACAGTAAGTAACAAAAGTCACCACTTGGAAATTGCTTTGGCAGAGCATGTCACGGCGCCATCTTGCGGCGCTGTGCGACAAGCAGGAAACAGCAGAAAGCAGTAACATACACGTTTCACAGACAGTTTGGATAGACACAGTATGGTGCTGCTGAGTGTGAAACTTGTGTTGAAGAAGAGTCCTGTTATCATCTGCGGCCTTGGCCAATGGAATGTGGAAGATTAGGAGAGGAGCCACAGACACACAGGAGAAAAAAACACATTTGCCTTGAAAGGCACGATTTCTGTGAGCAATGTAGGAGATCAAAACACAGGCAAATACTCTGTAAATCCAATTGAACCGAATTTCTGGTACCCTTGGTAACCTCCGTACACAGGGTCTTTTCGTGTGGGGTCAGAGAGTTCAGCCCTGGCAGACAATCTCATTCAATGTCATTTCCAATGGTTTATGTCTGTCCAAAGATTGCATTGCAAGATCTTTAAGCAAATGTTCGACCGGTAACACTCTCCGTTGTTCTCCCTCGGCGCTCTCAACCACCACCCGGGTCAGTTTTTTGTACCTTTCTTCAATTTCGTTGGACAGCTTCTCATAGATTCTAAGGGCTGCCATTCATCCAACTTTAAGGCAGAACTGGAAAGCCCAAAAGGAGAATCCCAGAAATCCAAATATGTAGACGTCTTCCGAATCTTCGATAGACAGAGGCGACAGACTTAACGGGTTCAACTTGCCCGAGCTGTTGTAGGTGTAACCCGCAGGTGCCGTCCCGTCAGGGTAGGGGGCCTCTCCTGGTCCTCCCTTACGTGTTGAAAAGATAGTATCAATTGCGTTGAGGGACCAGTTAATGATATCCATAATTCTTGTTAGAGTTGTCTGCGGCAAGACTCCAGGAAAAAGACAAAAACAAGATAGTGCAAGCGGTCAGAGCAAGAGCGGTCTAAGACACGTCTGTACTTGACGGAGGCGTAAGGAAGCTCATGCAAACTCCACACAGGCCTGAAGCTGGAATCCAACCCAGGACCTTCTTGCTGTGAGGCAAGAAGGTCCTGGGCCATGGTTTTGTCCACTAACAGTGAAAGAACCCTACTTTTCCATTTATGATGAAGTAGATGTGGGGGATCAACTATGGAGCTAATTAACCATAAATTAGGATTAAATGTTATTTAGTGAGGACGTAACTAAAGTGAGACTGAACACATTATAAAGCACAGTGGGTAAATAGTTTGGTCGATATTCATTTAACATTATTGAATTATTGACATACGATGACGCAGTGGTTAGCACTTGTGCGCCACAGTAAGTAGGTCCTAGATTCATGTTTTGTTTTGAAACAGGTCTTCTATTCGACAATGGGAGGAGACTTCGGCAGATACATGAGAGAGGTGGCATCAGAGGAGCTTAAGGAAGCATACGGTAATCGTGCCTTGGAATTCTACATCTATGGGTTTGACCAGGCTCAGTACCTGGAGGCCTCACACCCCCTCCGCCTCACCCTGGTCCTGCACCTCTCTGACTTCTACTACGAAGACGTCCACCTTCGGGCCGAGGCCATCAATATGGCCCAAGACGCCGTGAGCAAGGCCAGTAAGCTGCTGGAAAAGGCTCCGAACCAAGAAAGCAGCGTGATCGTGCAGCAGTTAAAAGACAGGCTCAGTCTCTGGACGCCGCTCTAGTCGAAAAGTGGTGGAAAAATATATATGGGATATTTCAACTTTAATTTAGTATAACATTAAACATACACACACACACACACACACACACACAAACACACACACACACAAACATACATGCACACACATACACAAACATATATACATACACACACACCTACATGAGTAAAGGGAAAGGTATTGTTGTGGGGTGTGTTTGTTATTGTCTTTACTGTTAAGTTTCGAGACTAAAAGTCTTCCTGAAACAGTCAGACGGGCTTCTTCTCTGACAATGTTCAAATCCAGGGTAGAACAGTTCTGATGTTAATCCTTGTGTGATTGATTCCATCTGGTTTTGTTCAGCTTTCACTTGCCTTGTGTATGAACTGTGCTACACCAATAAACTTGCCTCGCTTTACTCATTAAAGGGCCCAAATCTGTCATCATCAAAGGGCCCTAATCTGTCATCATTAAAGGGCCCTAATCTGTCACAATTAAAGGTCCCTAATCTGTCATCATTAAAGGGCCCTAATCTGTCATCATTAAAGGGCCCTAATTCATCATCATTAAAGGGCCCTAATCTGTCATCATTAAAGGGCCCTAATCTGTCATCATTAGATGGCCTTTCTGAGTGGAGTTTGCATGTTCTCCCCGTGTCTGCGTAGGTTTCCTCCGGGTACTCCGGTTTCCCCTACCACTAAAAATATGTACAATAGGTCTGGCATGCGCCTCCTGTTCGGCGACCCCGCTCCCATCTCTGTGTGGAGTGAGTGGACCAATGCCCAAAAATAATAACAATTGTAAACCGCTTTGTGACTCTGGTCTGTGAAAGGCGGTATATAAATAAAGATTAATTACTTACTTACTTACTTACTTAAAGGGCCCTAATCTGTCACAATTAAAGGTCCCTAATCTGTCATCATTAAAGGGCCCTAATCTGTCATCATTTAAGGGCCCTAATTCGTCATCATTAAAGGGCCCTAATCTGTCATCATTAAAGGGCCCTAATTCGTCATCATTAAAGGGTCCTAACCCGTCATCATTAAAGGGCCCTAATTCGTCATCATTAAAGGGCCCTAATCTGTCATCATTAAAGGGCCTGATCTGTCATGTTCTCCTGCTGCTGTGAGGAGCTGTGTAATAAACAAGAATAAATTGTATTGTATTGTTTAGTTGGTATCCAACTTAAGGTGCATTTACCGCCACCAACTGTTCCACAGCCATTCAATTATTTTTGTATTGTTTTAAAAATAAGTATTTGCAATAAAACGTATCCTACTCACGCCCTATACAATAGCAGTAATACATGTTCAGTATTTTGTCTGTCCAGGAGTCCAGGAGGAGGTTTGTGATCCTGTGGAAGGAGTTAGTCAAACCTGTGACCACGTAAAGGCTCCTCCTTTGGGCTCCTGCCCCAGGAACCCAACATTCTGCTGAAAGATAAATGCCACCCAGTATCACAAATATAACAGTATTCTTGCCACAAATTCAGATTTTGATCTTTTTACTTCACATTTGGCGACATGAACTTTAATTTAATTTTTTAATTTATCTTTATTTTTTTTCCTTGCATTGCTTAAAAGTTTACAAAGAAAAATTAAATAAATATGATTAATAGTAATAATAATATTAATACCATTACTACCATCAATATTAATAGAAATAGTAATAATTATTATTATAGTAAGTAAGGAAGTAAGTAAACTTCATTTATATAGCGCCCTTCACAGACCAGGGTCACAAAGCGCTTCACACACATATAAAAACAGACATATTATAAATTAGACTTACACATTTTTAAAGGCCAAGACAACCATGTAAATACAGCAAGACAAAATTATGAGTATTCTAATGAGATAAAGTCTGTGAAGAGGTTTTTCCCAATGGTTTATATGTATGTGTGTTATTGCAGGATTTCCAGTGCACAAAGAGGGTTTTCTTGGCGATGGTTAGAGCTATTAAGAGTATTTTAAAGTTTATGGCTGTATCAGTGATCATTGATAGATCAGTGTGGACAAATGTCTGATGTGAAACCCATTTTCACCAGCCTACTTCTGATGGAGTGTGTTCTGCGCAGTGTCTTGTATTGTATTCATTGAATGTTGGCATTTTTGGACATTTAGGAGATATTTTTACAAATCTGGGACTAGAAGTTGGCATCAGGAACAATTGACAGGTCGTTTTCCCATTTTGTTGATGTTAAGCAAATCATTTTGTTTGAATTTGAGATTATTTTGTATATTTTAGAGATTGATTTTCTTGCAGATGAGATGTTGACCAATCCTGATCTGGCAGGTGGAGGTTGCAGGTGTGATGATCCAATGTTTGATTTTGTTAAGACTGATTTAAGCTGAAGGTATTTCAAAAAATTAATGCTCCCTATGTTACGGGTTGCGTGTTGGACCCCAAAGCAGAGACAGACTGAGCACGATTCAAGGAAAGCTTTTTACTTACAAAAAGTAAATAACAAAAACAAACGACAGGCAGTGGTGAAAAAGGGAGACCTGAACACAGGACACAAAAAATCCATAAGCAAAAAATAACACCAGCGCAAAAACTCACACTGCTGCTGCACACTGACTTGAGACATTGAATAATCTGGCAGAGAAGTGATGTCTGCAGCAGGCTCTGCGCAGATGGTGCTGCACCGACGGAACAGTCACCATTGTTTCCTGGGATGGAAAAACGGGGGGCTGAAAACCATTAGCGGCCATGAATGGAGACATACCCGTAGCAGACGAGACCAATGAGTTGTGGGAGTACTCGATCCACGGAAGGTGAGTCGACCAGGAAGCTGGGAAACGTGCCGTGATACAACGCATAGCCGCCTCAAGGTCCTGATTTGCACGCTCCGTCTGGCCATTAGTCTGCGGATGGTATCCAGAGGACAGGCTTGCAGATGCTCCCAAGGCCCTACAAAAAGCCTTCCAAACCCGAGAAGCAAACTGGGGGCCTCGATCGGAAACAATGTCCTGGGGTATTCCATGCAACCGGAAGACATGCTGGACAAGCAAGTTGGCTGTCTCAAGAGCAGAAGGAAGTTTAGGCAACGGGATGAAATGTACACATTTAGAAAATCTGTCAACCACAGACAGAATGGTGGTGTTACCCCCAGAAGGCGGCAGGCCGGTAACAAAATCCACCGCTATATGGGACCAAGGACGATGAGGAATGGGTAGTGGGCGGAGCAAGCCAGCTGGAGATCTGTGAGACGCCTTGCTGCGGGCACAAACAGAGCAGGCAGAAACATATTCCTTGGCATCAGAGGAATTGGACGGCCACCAGAAGCGCTGACGAACAAGGGCCAGAGTGCGGTGAAATCCAGGGTGGCAGGCCAACCTCGAGTCATGGCCCCACTGAAGCACACTGGACCGAGCGGAGGGGGGAACAAACAGCAGCCCAGGAGGACAAGCCTCAGGCGTGGGATGACCGACCTGGGCCTCCTGAACAACTTTCTTCACCTCCCAACTGGCAGCACCGACCACACAATTGGGTAAGAAGGTTTCCTCACCCTTACCCTCAAAGGGAGTGGAAAACCTGCACGAGAGAACATCAAGCTTTGTGTTCCTGGAACCTGGACGGTAGGTAAGGGTGAAGTTAAACCTTCCCAGAAAAAGTGCCCATCGTGCCTGGCGGGAGTTCAACCTGCGGGCAGAACGAAGGTAGGACAGGTTCTCATGGTCAGTCCATACAACAAAAGGCTGAGCTGAGCCCTCCACTCCCTCAGAGCGAGGACCACCGCGAGCAGTTCCCGGTTGCCCACATCATAGTTCCTTTCCGCAGGGCTAAGCTGACGGGAAAAGAAGGCACAGGGGTGGAGCTTGTGGTCTGAAGTGGAACGCTGGGAGAGAACTGCGCCGACGCCAGAATCAGACGCATCAACCTCGACGACGAACTGAACTGTGGAATCAGGGTGGGAGAGAACAGGTGCAGAACAAAAAAGACTTTTCAAACGAACAAAAGATGCCTCCGCCTCAGCTGACCAAACAAAGGGGACCTTAGCAGAGGTAAGCCTAGTCAGAGGTGCAGCGACTTTACTATAATCCCAAATAAACCTCCTATAAAAATTAGCAAAACCCAAAAAAAGGCATAACTAAATACTCAAAATGTCCCAAGGGGGTATTAAAGGCTGTCTTCCATTCATCACCCTCTTTAATCCTGACTAAATGATATGCATTGCGAAGGTCCAGTTTAGTGAAAATCGAAGCCTCATGCAGGGAGCAAAAGGCTGAGTCCAAAAGTGGGAGAGGGTACTTGTTTTTCACTGTAATGTCATTAAGACCCCTAAAGTCAATACACGGGCGGAGTGACTTGTCCTTCTTGTCTACAAAAAAGAAACCCGCCCCAACAGGTGAGGAAGAGGGTCGAATCAGTCCTGCCGCTAACGATTCAGTAATGTATGTCTCCATGGCCTTTCTCTCAGGCTTAGACAGGTTATACAGCTTCCTGGTGGGTAAAGGGGCGCCTGGAACAAGGTCTATGCTGCAGTCATAGGGCCTGTGTGGCGGCAAGGACGAAGCCCTGTCCTTGGAAAAAACCTCCTGGAGGTCATGGTATTCACTGGGAACAGACGAAAGGTCAATGGGCCTGGGACCTTCAGTGCACGTCTTGATGGAGGGGATGGATGAATGGAGACAGTGCGTGTGGCAAAATAAACTCCAATTTACAATAGAAAATTTAGACCAATCTATATGTGGGTTATGTAGCTTTAACCATGGGAGGCCTAAAACTACAGGAGTAGAAGGAGAGTTAATCACGTTCAGAGTAATAGTCTCATGATGGTTTCCAGACAGGAGGAGGGACACTGGAACAGTGCGATCAGTCACAGTGGCAAGAGGCCTACCATCTAGCGCAAAAACAGTCTTGGGGCTGGGAAGAGGCTCGGTTGGTATCTTACACTGGGAAACAAATCCATAGTCGATGAAATTGTCATCAGCCCCCGAATTCGACTAAGGCCAGGAGTGCAAAGGAATCCTTGTTAAGCGTGACAGTACCTCGTAGCTGAATACGCTTGGTGCAAGGAT